GTATTTTATCTTTTCCACAATAGCTTCTAATACTCACCTAATTTTATATTAAATAAGTTTTACTAAGCAAAATACTCATTAATATGTTCTATTAGACTATATAGGTGCTACCATCTTCAAAATGGAAAGATACAAGAAGTCTTACAAGATTATTTTAGGAAAGGTTTAAGATTAAGAAACTACTTTAGCTTAATTTAGATTCAATATACAGATGTTATTCAGTAAGCTGTCATACACACAGTGGTGTTTTGGCAAAACTGTGTAGTTCTTCTTGATTCAGCATTAATTTATACCATCAAAAGACATTACAGAATTCATAGGAAGACTGCTATTTTGGTTTTTTGGTTAGAAATTTTTAGCAAGATGGAGTATATAATGTCATTATGCTCACTGGACTGAATTTTAAGTAACTGGATTTAGACAAGTGTAAGGTGTTAGTTACATCTTGCTGTGCTTTGTTTTGTTTTGAAAACAGGCACAGACAATTTGTTTTCACTACTTTTAATGAAATTCCTTCACAAAACATTTGAAAAGCATAGCATAGGACTGAATATGCATTCTTTTATACCAAGATGATCAGTAATTCAGAAACTCTTGGCTGTATTCTGTTCCACTCTGTACACAGGCAACTTCTCCTAATGCAGCTGAGCAAAATTTCATGATGATGAAAGTAGAGGAATGACAACTTAATTGCATCATAAAAATAAGCAAGGAGACACCTACACACCCAGATATCACATACTTCAAGCAGCACCTTCCAGTTTTTCTAGTCAGCTTTTAAATACGACTGCATTTTAAGGACGTACTAAAATGCTTTGGGCAAGTTTGCTACCTACAAGCATGGATTCTCTGCTTGCTGAAGTTACAGTAGCCATAACCTTGGTTTGCTGCATTTTAAACTAATACAGTTGCCTTCAGTAATGTCTTGGTCTAATCATGAGTTAATTATGTTTCAAAGTTGTTTTTTTTTTAACATCAAGTCTCTCAGTTTCTGTGCAAAGAAACTGAATACTCACAAGTTCTGCGTCAAATAATTTTGCTACATTAAGAAATCAATAAGAATATGGGGTCTATTTTTTTGCTGGTTTCAAACACCACACATTAGAGAGTGCCATCCTACCAGCCCATACAATAATCTGAAATGGGTTCTTTTTCATAAGCACACATCCAGCTGAGCAGTAATTACAGTGAAATGTCCTGTCATCTTTCCAAAGAATAGTAATTAGGGATATGAGCCTGGATGTCTTGTACGGTTATGGAAACATTTCTTCTTCCCAGCTAATGATCAGCCAAATAGTAAATCATTAAAAGGAAAATGACAAAGGGTGTGGGTAGTGACTGTCATCAACCTGGTTCACCAGCCCCAAACTTTGTCATCATCCTTCGGAAGAGAAGCCTGATGATGCCAAAGTTTCAATTCTTTGTGCTTCTTTGAAGAAAATATAGCTAATTAATCTTCCTCTTTACTGTTCTGGGAAAACATCTTTGTATTAGACAAACTATCCCTATTGGGGGGGGGCTAAAGGAGTCAAAACCATCTCACAGAAAATGTAGCAGTGTATCTATTACTACCACAATAATTTAAAACACCACCTAAGAGCTCAGGCATATACCTGTCTGAAACTAACTTAGAATAACCATCACCTTCCACTTTCTAGTCAGACCAATTTTTACTGCTTACCTACTGATTGCCAGGAGGAATGCAAAAGACCTCCCAGGCTGCCTCACTCCTCCATTTTTCTGGGAACAAGAATCGTTCCTGTTACATGCACAGGTAACAACAAAGCACCTAATGGGCATGAAATCTGGAGCTGGTTTTGGTTTAATGTCATGGTGTCAAATAAATATTTAACAAAGTAACTATTACCAACTCTAGGTATTATAATATTTTTTTATTATTATTTTGCAATTAACACTACCAATTGCAACTGGTACCTTCTTTGCAGTTTTTGAGTGATCCACACCAGTGTGTTATATGACCAACGCACCAGTAACTGTAACATTTTCTTGGGACTTAGGAGAACCAGACTCCAGATATACAGGAAAAGCTGCTTCAAACTTAACAGTGTAGGTGTGACTTTAGCTCTTATCTTTCAAATTATGTATGATCTAATCCTAAAGCCCTTATGGCAAAGTTTTATGCTCTCCAAAATTTCAGTGAAAAATCATATTGTTAATCTTGTTTATCAAATAAGCACCTTTCTTTTTTTTTTCCTTTTTCTTTCTAATCTCAAGTATGGCAAATTTCCCTTCAATGGGTGAACACATTCCAATGTATTTTTTTTTTTTTATCTACTGCTAATTTTGAACTTGTTCAGATTTGTGAGACCTTCAGGCCAGCTGTTGGTCACCACAATAATGATTTCCCTTTGATTTTGGAGGCAGGAATGTGACAGTTCAGTAAAAAGAATTTTTAGAACATAAGACACATCAGCACAGAAAGAAAACAAAAATTGTGAAGATGATGACGGCAAAGCAGGATTGAGAGATTGTTTAATAAAGAATGCTACCCTCTTTTCTAAATACTCTGATCAATTTTCTATTAATTTTTTTTTCCCAAAAAAGTAAATGTCATCAAATCGACTCAAAACTATTCCCCTTGCAAGTATTTGTTTTTCTTCTGCCAAGCAATAATGCATTTCAGGTTTTGCATTTCTTAAGCCAATATACTGCATACAAACCACAGGCATGTTAAGACACAAAGACACACATTGCATTTCATAACCTCACCGTGATGAAACCGGTTTGTACATATTCCTGGAGCATTTTATTGCTCACATTGAAGAAATTCCCAAAGTGCGATGGCTGCTATTCATACTCGTGATATAAAAAATTTTAAAACTGATAACAGTCCACAACAATATAATTTAAACACAACCCCAGTAAAGTATGTTAATAGATAGGACACAGGACAAGAACAATAATGGTTTAGGATATTATGCAAGATTTACAATGTAGTTGCAATCTGCATTAAGTGCCACAAGCAAGCTAATAACAGAGAGCCATGGTTTAATCCCAACACAATAACCAGAGAGATATATTTTTTCAGATGTTTGATGACACACAAAACTGTAATTACAGGGATATTCCCATTTAGCTGTGCGTAAGGAATAGCAAACAAACTATAAAAGCCTCATGCACAGAAGGAACAGGCTGGCAGCACCTCAAGAGCACGTCTATCTAACATTTGTCATTTACCACCGTCAACAAATCACGCTTGCAGAACAGGTTACACATTTGTACTGAAATTCCACTGCTTTCATTATGACATCAAAGAGCTTCCAATCTAGGAAAATATCAGGGCTGATCTGGATCTCAGAGCTTGTTTGCCTTTATGGCAGTATTTTTCTTTAACCATTTTTTTAAATGGACATATAAGTATTATAAATTGCATATTATATTAGGACACATATACGATTTACCAGTCTTTTCTAATCCATGTTGTTGCTCAATTTTCTCCCTTTTGTGTTAAAAATTTCAGTAGATTTTCCACATTGAGAACAGATTAGACCTTTTAAATAAGTAAATCCAATACATCCTTCAAAGTCTGCCTGTACCCCAGACCAAAATATATTTTTCACATGGTTCTTCCCATACATATTCAATTAGTATTTATGACTTGGTGGAAATCATGACAAAGTTATGAACCATTATCATTTGTTTATAAGTCAGCTATATATTTATAAAGTAATTTATAATCTGCTGAAAATTAGATAATTCTTTCCTGCACTTCAGTGTTTATTGATACGAATTTATCTTCTTCATATATCAATCCTTGTTTATATAATGAAAAATCTGTATTAAAATCTGTATCCTGCTACTGAACTGACCTTTCAAAAGTATCTGTTCTGACAATCCATCAGTATGATATAAAATCTACACAAGTTTGGCTATATCTGGCAAGTTAACTTTCTGAAACACTCAGCTTAGTCTTTCAAGTTCATTTAAAGATACTTACAGAAATTCCTGAAGCAAAAAGGGCAGGTAAAAATGACAGAAAAAATAGCATTATTCCTTACTTGACATATTATTAACTTGAATGACTTTTCCTTGAGACAAATTTAAATAGATTAAGAAGTTTATTAAAAACAAAATAAAAACTCTTCCATAAAATAGAAAAAAATGCATTCGTATTTTAAAAAATGAGTGCTTGCTATACTCTAGGTTGGAATATAACTTCTTATATTTTATTAAGAATCACCATAAAAGACAGCTTTAAAAGTAATCTAAACACAACTGGAATAAAAGGCCTTTTAAAAAAAAAAAGTCATGATAAATTACAAAATATTTGTTATATCAGAAGGGCAAATATGTAGCCAAGTAAGTCATATATGGCACATTTTTGAATCATTTGATGACTTATTTGCCCATCAATAATTAGTTACTCAACCATTACAAAAGATATAGGCAAAGTGTAATCATATCTCAACTAGTGCACTGCTCAGTCCCCTGGGGATTTTTTCTTTTTTTTCCTATTAGTGAAACAGGCACAGAAAACAAGCCTTAAAGTAGAAAACATTGGGGGTCACGTAGGGAGTAAAAGTTTTAATTGTCTTTCCAGGAGTTCCTACACAAAAATCATACAGAGCTTATGGTCAGATTGCCAAAGTAGCTAACATTTATGTATTATCAGCAGACCTAAGACATGTTTATGAAGAGCATTCAGGCATCTTCATGGATGAGGCTCTTGGCTTCCTTTAAACTGGCATTCCATTCTTTTGGTGAAGAACTGCCTAAATATCTTACATATTGAGCTATTGGGGACTCAGAAAAAGAACTCACACTCTAGCGTTTTGAAGTATATTTGAAAAAAAAGAAGTTGGTAGGTGGCTCTAAAAGTTGCGTTTTAGAAGAAAATATAGTGTAAGAGTCCCAGAAATTCAGTACTGTGACAATTCCATAGTGCACCACATAAGAAATGTTTCCAGAACAGAGTATCTTCATATTCACATACACATACTAAAGTTGAATAGAATTTGTATGAGGAGAAAGATACTAAATTTAACAAACATCTAAATATAACCCATTTTATTTTGCTGCCTCTGTCCCAAATACAGACTACTGAAGAGTACCCCAGCATGGAGAAAAATAGCATATTCATGGATGAATCACAACAGTAAAAACAAATGCATGGAGTTACAGCAGTGATGCTTCAGAAAAAAAGAAAAAGAGGGTTGAATTCAGGTTTTTTTCTTTTCTTTGGTTTGGAAATAGCATCATCATTGACATTTTGTAAGCCCACTTGGAACAGCACAGCAAAGTAATTTTCAAATTTTCACCATTTTAGGTGCATAACTTTTCTACAGAAAGGTAGTATTTTGGATTACTCAAAAGGCAGCTGAAGTGGGTAATCAAAGCATTTCTGAAAACTTGTTTATAAAAATCATGCAAACGGCTTGCAGCAGATAATTTAGCTCTACATCTAATATTACAACTTTGACTCAATCATAACTTATACACATGGAACTATTTTAGAGCTGAATCAAACCTGTGATTCCTTGTGGCAATGTAGTCCCTTTTGAGTGGTAGGATTTTTAACTGACAATCATCTTTCTCTTAAATATATATGTTGGAATTTTAAACCAGTTGACCAGTTGACCAATTATATAAATTATTTAAACTGCTGACCAATTACTTTCAAACATAAAGCATTAAAAGCCACTTCTGGGTTTTATTGGTTGACTTTAACCAAAGAGTCACAAAGTGACTCTTCTGAGAGCTGGGGATCATGAATGTATGTCAGAACATTGCAAAGAGAAAACATTAAAGGAAAAGACTTTAAAACATTATTATTTGAATTTTCTTTTTTTTTTTTTCTTTGCTATGTTTTTCCCCCAATTGAATTGCTTTTAAATATTCAATTATATTGCAGTTGCCTTGAGCTAGGAGGACTGGTTTAGGCTCTTGATTATTAAGATTTCACATTAAGAACACACAGATTCAGAGACTTGGTATTTACTTATATTACCATGTTAACAGAGAGAAATGGCTAGAAGATTAGGACTTGAAATTCACAAGCAATTGTCCAGTACTGTCTAAATTTTTGTTAAAAAATGTGAAGTGTTAACTACAGAGATGTTCCCATGGTATTCAAAAGTATTTTTTGGGGTGGGGATGGGGAATCTATATTTTCTTTATTAATCTCCCTAGTAACTGAATCATGTGCTGCTAGAAAATTGAATTATGCAAATGACTGATGGTTATAATCTTTTTTGCTTTTTATTCATTAGTGTGATTTTTTTCCTGAATCTCAGAAGACTTAAAGGATAGATAATTAAATGATGCTTTAATATTGCCCTCATATGAATATATTAAACTGGAAATACATAGATATTAATTTAAATAGGTATTTTATAATTTTTACCTGTGTAACAGTTTCACCTCTGATCTAGGTATAAAATTTTATTTTATTAATGATGAATTTACTCTGAACTTTTATATTTTGTTTCTCATTGGGATTTTCAGTTTTAAAGGAAGTTCGATTTTTTCTATGCTTCCACTGTTCACATATAAAGACATTTCATAGCAACTGTGTAGCTATATGGAGTTTATATAACTATAAATTTAGATTATTTACCATTATGCAGCAACTTACTCTAGAAAAGCATTAAGGTGCTGATTGTTAAATGGAATGTAAAAACAATGAGAGTGAAGTATATTAGTTTAGAATTCTGTTTCAACCAGTAGTATTTTAGAAAGTTGAAAGGGAAAGGTTATTTTGCTTTGAAGAATCTGTAGATAAACTTCTGTTTAAGTTACATATTACCTTAGTCTTTTATCTCCCAGGATCACGGTTCAAATATTTCAAGGAACCACAGTTTACCAGACCTCAACTACATTTCTGCAGAACCAAGTTAATACAATTCTTTTCTGAGAGACTTGGGGTGTGGCATAGCATTAACAGCGCCATAAAAAATTGAACATTTCAGCTCATTGCATCAGACACAGGTACTAGAAATTACATTAACTAGCAGTCTGAATCCTAAGAGTTAATGAATACAGGTAAATTAACTTTTGTGATGTTTGGGGGTTGCATTCTACAAGACAGCATTTGCTCAATCATAATTTTTTCTTTTGCATTTCTTTAAGTTGCACAAAAATTTAGGGCTTGCCCAACTAGAAGTTTGCTAACACAATACCACTGTCAAACAAACAATTCACGAAAAAAAAATTACCTTGCAAAAAGGTAATTAACTACAGTGGTAGAAACATTTGAAAAATCTACAGAGATCTTATAGTTCTATTCAAGAATAAAATATTTGGACTAATGTCGAATTATTCTTGCAAATACTTCACAAGCACTGGTCATATCTCAAACAAGGGAAATGAGATCTTTTCATTCTGAGAGCTATCCTTGTGGCTTATCAATTGCACAGGATACAGTAGTTTGTTTCTAAGGTAGTCTGCTTCTATCTATGCTAACAAAGAAGAGGAAGGAGTAAAAGGTCTCCATGAGCACACCTTGGCTATTCGAGAATCAGAGCACCATTCCAGCAGCCTGGAAAAACAAAGAACATTAGTTCTGCTCAGTTAAAGTAGTTCTGCTGAGAGGATATCAACTCTTCAACAGTAACCATTGTGTTTTCCACAGACACTGTGCCAGTGCATTAAAATTATTCCCTTCTAGATCATATAATCTCCTTTCTTTAAATTCCAAAACTATAAAAACGAGACAAGGAGTGTCGCAGACATCTTTTGTGAAAATCCTTTTCTTAGGATTTTTCCTGCTGAGAAGCTGAGAAGCTACAGCAACAAAATGTAAACAATGGTTATCTGCTGCTGAGGAATGCATCAGGTGTGTCTGTGATTGGCCCGTCTTGAATGTTTACAATTAATGGCCAACCACAGACCAGAGAGCTTGGACTCTCTGTCCAAGCCATAGACCTTTGTTATTCACTCCATTCTATTCTTAGCTAGCCTTCTGAGAGGAAACCTTTCCTTCTATTTCTTTTTAGTATAGTTATAATGTAATATATATATATTATAAAATAATAAATCAAGCCTTCTGAACATGGAGTCAACATTCTCGTCTCTTGCCTCATCCAAGAACCCCTGTGAACACCGTCATAAAGGAGGAAAGAAAAAGACTCTAAAGAAAAAAACTGAAAGACTACATTGCTTTTTAAATCTGGAAAATATATGCTCTGAATACATTTAATTAACAGGGCATCAATTGCTGATACTAAGATTAACTATATGAACACCAAGAGTAGCAGATAAGTTTGTTTGTACAATAATCGTGGAAATTAATAAAAGCCTAGGGAGAAAATAGATTGTAAGACCATGTTTATCATCTGAGTTCAAGATAAAGCTAATCAGCAAATGCTTATCTGTATGTTTGAAGGGAAGCCTTAAATCCTGCATTAAGTGCAGCAAAAATTCAAAAGGAGCAAATATAAAATTCTAGTTTTCTAAATATAGGAGTGATATGTGGTAATTCCTAAGCAAAAAGTTCAAAGACAACATGTTTTCTGTACTGCATACAAATCTGTTCAATCTCAAATCTGCAAGTTACCTGGAACAGTTTTAATCTTATTTTAATAATAAAATAGCCCATTATTTTCAACTGAGCCAGTAATAGTTAATGAGCAATACTAGAATGTTGAGCATGTTGGACCACTAAGGAAACAAAATCTTATGAAACAATGTGAGAGGTCACACAGTAGCCTGATTCCTAACTATTTATTGTTACAGTGTTGTCTGTTTCTAATGTATATTTATCCCTGCTATTATATAGGGACAAAAATAATGAGGGATTAAAAAAAAAGAAAAAAAAAAAAGCTTGGGAAAAGGCAGGGGAAACAAGATGGTAAAATAATAGGAATGCGAAATACAAAAAGAGACAAAGAAAATTAGAGCAATGGGAAAAAGAAGTGAAAGAAATCAGAATAAATTGCTAGATATAACAGGCAAGTGAACACCTGGTTGAAGAAAGTGGTCTTTTCAGTCATAAAGAGGGGTCAGCACACATCTCTGGCCACTGCTAGTCAAAGGTGCTTTCTGCTTTTCTGTCAAAGAGTATATATATATATATATATATACTAGGAGTATAAAATAAATAATTTTCAGTACTGTTTCCTCTGATTCTTCAAGGTTACAACCACATTGTTCTCATCTAACTTGGAAAGTGTTTCCAAAATAAAGCATTTCACAGATTTGAGATTTTCATTTGACCTTCTCTTGCAATAGTCCTTAAATCTATCCAGCTCATAAACCTCTTAGATTCCCATACAGAAAATTATACCAAAAAATTTTGTAATTGCTACGTGCCAGATGGATCAGTCTAGAATTCCTTTATAGGAATAAAGGAATGTTTTTTCTATTCATGAAACAAATTTTTCTTTTAAAATGTGAATCTGAAAATCCTGTTCCTCCTTATAATGTCGCTCCTGCTTCTCTTGGTTATTTGCATAAGTAGTCATGCAAAAATGAAACAGATTGCTGAGTCTGGACTCAGACTTCAGACCTATGTTTGACATGCACATGCAGAGCTTTAAAGCAGAATTTGTCTACAAATGTGTAACCTAGTGAGTCATCTTATCCCTGTGACAGTGACTCCCCACAGTTATACTCTGTACATCCCACTCTTACCCAGTTACATCCCTTGCAAGATGCATTTTGCTAACATGACAAGGCTTCAGATTTTTCTTCTTCTGTTTTAACTCTCTCCTAGAAAGGAGATGTTAAGAGACATCACAAACAATTTTATTTCACCACTGAAAGAGGGATCTTGGGATAGCAACTCACAGCTCCTTCATTGTAAGGACATGGCCAAATCACCTTTGGTTTCTGGAGGGAGCAAGTAGAGGGCAAAATAAATATGTAAGTCAGCATAGCCAGCTTGTCATGAAATACCATTAAAATGTTTCCCCCTCTGCTGCTTCCTCCAAACTCTTGGTCTCTCATACACTGTCATAATGTTCTGTCCAAGGAGTTGTATTCAACTGGATCACTTCATTGCTCCACTCACAGCACTGCTTTTCCAATAGCTTGCCTGGCCATAATTTGAAGGACAGCCTACAAAGGTATGAGGATAGAAACTCCTTAAGCCAGCACTGTCATTAAAGTTGCAGTATAATGAAACTATGGCCTAAGCAACTCACTTAAAACTGCACTTCACGTCAAAGGAAGATGGCCAGAAACTGAACGTAATGCTCCATGGCATGTCTACACTCTAATTGAAACATGACAGGGCAAATTCACTGCCCAAGGATCCACAGGCACAGACTAACCTCTGTCATGAACTTGCTGTTCCCAAAACAGAGTGGCCTGGTCCCAGCTTCAAACAAGCATGCATGGGCCTCAGTGGAGGAAATAGCCCACAGGCTTTTGTGTCTGCTCACCTCTGCACCTCATGTATTCTTCCTCACCTTATGATACATCATCACAGCAATGCAGTGATGACTTTTTGAAGTGTGTGGAGCGTCCTTTCCTCTGTGCCTTCAGATGGCCATTAAAGCTGTCTGCAGCAGCACACATCCTGGGTGTCAAAGCTGGGGCTCCTAAGTCTCTGCTACCACCACTTTTCTGGCTCTTGTTCACTGTGGCCAACTCCTAATTCTTTCTGAAAACCACCATGGGGTGACCCACATGTGTGTGGCACATGTGTGTGGCACAGGCTACCAAAGCTGCAGTTCACCAGAGATGCTGCTTTGTGCAGTCAACCTCCTGGGAAATGGTGTGAGAAAAGCAACTGGCTTGGAGGTCAGCAGTGCTAATTCACACCAAGGGTCAAGACAGAGGTATCCCTTCTTCCAAAGGGAAGGAGTGAAAAGAACAGCCAGTGCTGTGGAAACTTCCCTTTTTCTTACCAACAAGGTGCATCATATCCTGACACAACCACAGGCTTATTAGCACCCTTTAAAGATGACTGGCATGGTAGAGAAGCATATCATTTCAACATGGATATTACAAGCTTCATTATTTTATTATGTGTTTACTTTACAACTATTTCCTAGCCTCCATTGCAGTTAAACATGAGGAATAGCCTTTGAGATCACCATACCTTTAGCTCTCATTGCAAACTTCATTCTCTTATGAGCTTTGCTGCACATGTCTAGCCAAGATCACACCTTTTAGATGTAGTATGAAATCATGTCAGTACGAAAAATTCCTCCCACCTCATAGCCACCATTTGCAAAACCAAAAGAAGGCTTGCAACTTCTCGAGATTGTTTAGATCACAGATAATCAGCTAATCTCCATTAGCTAACACACAATGCCTGAGTTGGATTAATTTTCCTCACATGGCTTGAGACTTTGCAAAGCTAAGTGAGCAACTCAAAGCATTATTTTTAGCATATCTTAGCATTTAAATTTCTGACATCTGAAGCTGAGGCAGCTACAGCCCACAGAAAGAACCCCGTGCCTCTGAATTATGCTTGAATTCCAGGTGCTCTCTGGAAACTAAAACCCAACACAGATTCATATTAATTCACTGACAGCTTTCCTAAGACAGACCACTTGAACTATAACAGCACATATGCAATGTGTAGAAACAGAATGGAACTATGTTCCAGATTGATATCTTCATTTAAATCCTGTCCTAGAAATCAAGTATTACTTACCCTTCCTCTGCTAGAAATCCTTCTATTTTAAATCATGACAGTGTGATACAAGAAGCTCCCAGCTCCTTCAAGATCCAAAAAGGAACTTCTCATATTCTGGCATTTCTGTCTGTCAAAGGAATTGACACAATACTTCTATTTACCTTTTAAAAAATACTACCTCTTCTTCAACCCACTCCAAAACACTGTTGATCTTACCTCACAGTAGTATCAGATAAATCTTAAGTTAACACCACAATATATTGAACCATCTCTTGTAACCCACAGCATTTTTGGATGGAATTGAAGCATTTGGAGATTTCATAAATGAGCCATGAAGATAAAAAATATGTAATCTTTCTGCATTTGTTTTTAAAAAAGGTATTTTTAAAAGATAGGAAAGCAAAAGATATGTACCGTGACAATGCCATCTCAAGGTTTAGCTCAATTTTCAAGTGTTTATTTGCATAAAGCACAATTTTGCATGAAGGCACAGCATAATTTATAATTATTTTATCCACCAGGAGCCAGACACAGCTTTTAGATGTTAAATCTGCTGACAGCAGTTTATCTCCTCCTCCATCTTAGAAGCAACTAATGCATTGTCAAGGGCTTGTCTGGGCCAACAAGTATTTCTCCCATCTTCTGCAGGAAATACCCTTAAATTTAATTTTCATATTGACTGAAAAGAAGGAAGCCTTACCTTTCTTCCACTTTATATAAAGAAGATCTCTTTGTTTCACAGTAGAATTTTATTCCTAGAAACTCTGTATTTCTCTACAGACCATCTAGACCCTTTCAGAGGCAGTCTACCATAGGAGCACCATTTTGCTGAAGCATCTCCTGTTCTACCAGATGTTCTGTTCAGAAAGTAATTCTGATATTTGAAGATTTAACAGTTTGTTGACAAAAAAATCTCAAAAATTTCTTACAAAAACACTCTGATATTTTGATAGTGGTATCTGTACAGGGATTTAATTTTATTTCAGCTTTAGTCTGCTTTCAGAAAATGTTACTGAGTAGATTATAATATCCACCTGAGGACAACAGGCTATGTTTAGTGAATTTTCTGATCCTGCAAGAAGCACTAAGGAGAAGTGGCTCAACTGGCCCAGTATGCAAAGCTAAGATCAAAAAAGACGTATTTTACAGAAGCAAAGAGGAAATGCACAAAATTATCCAGTGGCCATCCAAATCACCAGTCTGCATTGCAATTTTTCAAGTACAGTATGCTGTCACAGTACTCAAACAAATGCTTTCATAAAAGCATGCTAAGGAAAAAAAAGATTTACAGAAAAGTTACAGTCAGTTCCAAACAAAAATGACTCAATGACAAAAGAAAGAAGAATTACTTTGCAGGGGATTAAAAACTTAGGTACTGAAGTCATAAAGTCTTTTTGTTTTCTCTTAGTGTTGTGACAAAGTTTTAACAGTCTATGAACAGCATTTTGTCTATTTTAGATTAAGAGTCAACATTTGCTATTCAAGTAAAGAGAATAAAATTGCAGCCACTATTGCAATATTTGTATTTTTTTTAATTTAGAAAAACCAAAGTCACTTCTTTAAGATGAAAATACACGTCCTACATTATTGATTAGATCTTTAATTCCTGAAAGCATTAAGACTACAAGTTGCCACCTTAGCTCAAATTTAAGTATTCTACAAATTGTCATTCCTTTAAAGTAGAGGTGTAGCAACCAAAGACAAAAGAGAGCTGGGGTTCGGGTTTTGTTTTGAACAAATGATGACCATTAAAGGATCTTGAGAAACCTGGGGTGTACATTTCTGTGGAGAAACAGTAAAAACTTCCACAAATAACCTTGATTTGGTAGTAATGTTACTCGTGGTATGGCAGGCAAATTTATCAGGCAAAAGCTCTCTGCACAGTAAGTAGAGAATAGAAGATTTCTTTTGGAAGGAATTAAATGCATACCAGTTTATGTTAAACATAGCTCATAGCCCAAGACACTGGTATGAAAACATATGGCCCTCCTTCATTCCTTTCTCCTATTCCATTTTCATGCCCTTCATGTGTAAGCCATAGAGCTTAGCAAAGCTTCCATCTCTTAACTCAAGACAGCCTAAAACCACCCAACATTTTGGCCAGGACAGTCATCAACCCAGATGAAGTCTACGCCAATCTTGCAACTGAACTACAAAGCAACTCTATTCCTCTCACTAGTAATTCCCTTAGAGGTTTCCTTGCTTCTCTTCAAAGGTTTTATTGCTGAATATTATTATTGCCACAATTCTCCATTCAAAAATGCTTTATGTAAAATGCTTGTAGTCTGTGTATCCTTGCTATTCCTGCATTTTTCTCTACTCAGTGTATAAGCAGAAGGAAGTTTGCTAGCAACAGGAGAGTTCACATCAGCTGCTAAATGGTGCTTTATGTCAGCAAACTGTATATATTCATAGTAATACCTTAAAATGGTTAAAATTTCAGAAATCAGAGAATTGTTTCAGGAACACGTACACTGCCTAGACAGCTTAGGAAAACCTCCCAGGAGCCCAACAAAGCATTCAGCACAATACTGTCAAAATTGTCTTTGTTGGTTCCAGCAATATCAGGTGCCAGAGCTCAGTGTGATTCGATCTGTTAGAGATGTGCTCAGGGATGGGAACAGAGCTGCAGAAAGTGGCTTTGCTCCCCGAGAAGATTTGAGAGCCAGTACCAGTCTGTCACAGGATAATACAGCCTGACATATATGTAGTCTCAGGAGATTTCAACAGCTTAATGGAAATACATTCTGGTTTTGCACCCTTTTCACTGACCTGAGCTTTTGGCTGTCCACAGAACAATCCTCCACCCTCCCACTCCTCCAAATACAATTGCTTCTCCAAACATGCTGACACAAGAGGAATAAGGTAAATTAGTTCTGGACCAAAACAGAGCAAGCTGAACCTTTTGCTTAAGTACTTCATGAGAATTAAGCACTTTTGTGCCATCTTCATCACATCAGATGTCTGAGAGTGCCATCCTCCCGTCCTCTGGGCAGTGAGCACCACAGTGTGGACAAGAGCTGTTAAAGCAGCCCAGGCAAACAATGAAGCAGCATGAGACTGAGCACGTCCAAGTGCCAGGACTACTCAAGTGCTTCCAGAAGGAAATGTAAGCTAGGACAGGCTGACTCAGGTTCCCTTTGCTACAGAAACTCCTGTAGGTCTGGTATTTTAAAACTGCTTTTTTGGAGATTCATTTGTGTTATACTGCTAGAGTGCTCACTAAATCACAGAAAAGCAAATATAAACTCCTACCTCTAGAGTATTTTTAAAATCCTGCAGAATAACAGCTGCATTTCTGCACTGAATGACTGGGGGCCTAAAGTACAAA